CTTTATCATCTATGGCTGCTGCTATGACCGAGAAGGAAGCTATGGTGGATCCTTTTTTGGTCGAGGCTCTTCAGAATCCTCGTCATCGTCTCACCAGTTAGTCAACTTCTCTATAACCCACGATTCGATTTTGCTTTCTCTGTCTTGGGTTGATCTGATTTTGGTTCATGTCATTAGGGTTTGATAGAATTTGGGGGATCATGAGTTTCTGTAATCCTCGATCCTTTTATGGTTTATGTTTTGGTGATTAGGGTTTCGTGCTTTGACGATTAGATCCATAATCTCTGATTCTATGGCCTCAAATCAGTAGCTCAATCAGAATCGTCATGATTGCGATTGTTTTCATCGGCATCATGAACATTGAAGCTTTAGTAATCACTCTGATTTTCCATTACCATCTGTCTAATTTGGTCTTCTCTAGGCTCAATTACATATATAGGCAATTAAGCATATGTGAACACCCTTTTTTTATGTGGAAGTTTAATTTCTGTATCTGGAAAGATTCTCTTCAAATGTGGTTGTTGGGTGATTAAAAAGGTTGCTTCTTTTGTTGGTGTGTGTGTTTTTAGTTTTGCGGATGGAGCTCGATATTCAGAAGTTCTTTCAAAACCCTGAGCAACTTCAGTTCGAATTCCGGCCTTTTCCTACATCTTACCTGCGTCTTGCTGCACATCGAGTTGCTCAGCATTATGGACTAGTGACCATGGCTTTGGACAATGGTAGTGGTGCAGCAGATGGATCCGACAACAGAATCCTGGTTACGAAAACAGCGGAAAGTAGATTTCCTTACGTCTGCTTATCGGAAATTCCTGTTAAGCAACCCGAGAATGGTAGACCTGAGGGTTTCAAAATCGCAATTAAGCCTAGACCAAAAAGAGGATCTGGTTGTGGAGGTAGCGGATCGGGAGTACAACAGAATCTTCTGAGAAGTGTTGAGGAGAGAAAAGAAGAGTATGATAAAGCCCGGGCTCGAATCTTTAACAGTCCTAGCAGTTCCGACTCTGAAGATTCTTCATCACTACGAGCGCCTCCGCCTCTTGAAGGGAAAAACACATGTATAAACCGAAATGAGACTGAAGTGGTGGTGAATAATAACCCTGTTGATGCTGTTACTCGAGACTCTGGACGGACTTCTCGGGTTGCCATTATCAGAGATAGAGAGAAGGATCGGTATGACCCGGATTATGACAGGAGCTACGACAGGTATGTCGTGGATCCTGCGTACAGGTAAACTTTTCCATCTCTTAAACGGCGACATTCAAGAAAACTAATTGGTATTGCTCTGCAAAAATAAGGTCTTTATCTTGTGGGTTTGTTTGTAGGTACGTTAGGGTTATGCCTGCTGGCCAAAGCTTCAATCCGATGCCAATCCACATTCCGTTTCACGATGGACTTTTCCCGCAGATGCCAAGAGGTCATCAACCTAATCTTCACTATGGCCATCCACTAAACCCAGCTGTGAGTCCCTTCACTAATAACCCGGCTGCTTATTCACCGTGGCCAAATACACCAGCTATGAACTATGCACAGTCTTTGAACGGTTCAGACACAAATCTTTTCAGGTTTGCTCATACTAAACTCTTTGTTTACTTTTCGCCATTTGATTTACTCCTCAAATCTAAGTGTCTACTCGTCTTTACCGTGCAGGCATCCTTCTACAAGCAATCCCTGACGACAAAAGTAGTGTTTTTGAGTATTTCTATGTCTGTATGAAAACCAGATTCTATAGATATTAGCCTTTAGGAGCTCTCTGTTCTGTTCCGAACAATGGCTGCTTCTCTTTCTTTTATATAACAAGACAATCTACTCTTTCCTTTTTCTTAATTATATAATTTTCGAACCTTGCATGAACCCTAGACTATACTCAAAACCAATCTTTGATTGTGGCGTTTTCCTCTTTGTGGTGAACCTGGAATTTGATTCATGAATGGTCTCTTTTTATGGAAAGAAAATGTTCATAATTAATTGTTTTATTTTTGTTTTACATATAAAACATGAGGTTGCGAATACTTGGACTTGGAGGGTCGTTTTCTAACTTTGAAGAGACGAAGACAAGTGATTTCCCAAAATTCCTAAAACCAATAATCCCTCGAATACTCCTTTGACCAAATGGTCTCAAATCACAAGATTGGTTTAGACTTGATGGTAAAATTGGAATTTTAATCAGCAGTGGTTTTGGATTTAAGATTGGATTAGACTTCTGGAAAAAAAAAACCAAATCAAGAATTAGAAAATTAATTAATTTAATTTATATACTTTGGTTTGGTCATTAGTAGATCTTTTCAGAAAATTTTGGTCAAGCTAATTCCGAATCAACAAATTGGATAAGACAGAACGAAACCGAACTCAGTAAACATACTCTTTACGTGAATCAACCGTAAGAGATATTTGATATCTTAACTAAAGAAAAACAAAAATTTCGAACATTTTTTTTTAATAAATGTTGGATGGGGTCTGACTTGGTGAGACAAGATCAGGACATGCCAGCTATGAACCCCACCACCCCCTAACTTTAAGTCATTCCCCTCCCAAATAATTTAACTTTCAATTATAACAAA